AGAACCGGGGTTCAAATAGTGCTTATGCAATTGAACCTGACCCTGTACCAGGAAAGTACCCAAGTATGTACTTAACTTGGTTTTTGTGACACTAGTTATGTACATAAGCTTATGTACTTTGTTGCATCAGAACCATTAGCAGGTCAGCAATGGGCCAAATGTGAAGTTTTTTGGAAACAAGTTGTTTTTAGATGTTCATACTGTTAACTTTCTTACTTAGTTTAAAAGAAGGGTGGCTATTGGTCAGTGAAGTCATTGATTTACACCAGCTAACCATCTAGTCCATTATTTTTAACCTTGTGATGTTCCTCTAAAACGAGTGTCGACAATCAGATTCTTTTCCCTGTCTGTCCGTATAACAAATCTGTAATATAAACTGGCAGTCTGCTCGACAAAAGCCAAGGGAAGATAGCAGGAATGTAGCTGGTCATAACTGAGGTAAACTGTCAGAGCTATTTAGGGCTTTTTTCTCCACCACCCTCCAGCACTCTTCATTACAAAACACCACATAACACACTAAAGAAAAAAATTGCAGCCCAAATTTGCCTCATCCCATTTCACTCCAAGCGTGTATTTTTTTAACCTCCCCAAAAGACTTATCAGACAAATAACATTTGAAGGTGTAGCAGGATGGGCCCTGGGGTGGCTCCTAGTCCTCTATATAACTTTCCCATTCATCTCACCTGCCACATTTTGATGTTTCATTGATACTAATTAGGAGGCTGCCCCTGAATCCCAGGATGCCCACACAGGTGCTTTGCTTAACCTGACTGATCTCTTGTTGCTGGGCCCCCTGGTGCTGCTTCGAGCAGCAGGGGCTGTGTGCTATGCTACTCCCAGAGCAGGGACAGCCAGAGAGCAGCAGAGTGGCCTGGAGGTGGTATGACAACCCAGATAGGAGACTTTGAGTTTAAAGAGATATATGAATTTTTGCTTGAATAAGGATCTCCCAGCCCCACCTTATCCCCCCACAACCCTCTGATTGTGATGGCGAAGCACAGGCTGGGAGATAAGGATCTCTAAGCCCTTGCTCCCTGATCACGATCTTGGAGGAGGGGGCTTAGAGCTCCCTGCTGTAGGATAGGGGGATATAGTCCCCACCCCAGCAGAAGGCAGCTCCCAGGGGGCAGGGAGCAATCTCCCACCCCATTGTGGTTGGCTGACCGGGAGCAGATTTGCTTCCGGTCAGTCATCTACATGAGCACTATTACGCACTAACTAATCCCAAGTAAATTTGCAGGTAGCAAATTTACTCATGATCAGCAAAGTTTACTGAGCAGTAAGCATGTGCATGTGTAGATGCACATGCCTAATATGCAGTAATCTATGCTACTGTGCAGTAAAGCATCTGATGTAGACACACCCTTTATGGAGGCAAGTCTGCTTAAATGTATAGGGTTTTCCCTGTTTTTTTTATTATTAGAACATTTTGTGAAAAAAGACTGTTTTCCACAGTTCACTGCTTCCTGATGCACACTCCCATTTGAAGTCATAGCTTACAACAGAATAGCCCAGATACCCCCTCATTAAGTCACTAGCACTCAGCTCCTACAAGGCTTAGAGGAGTTAGAACAGAATACTGTCCTTAGCCTACACTACAGCTTCACTGAGGGGAAGATAAATATGTTTCCCATTTAGTCCACTGTGAAACCCCCCAAGTTACTGGCTAAATTGATGCATACATTCCTCTCCAAATTGCCTAGAAAGGAATGTTCAGACTGAGGAGGTGTCTTCTATATAGAACTAACATCTTGTTCCTGTGCTAGAGTGAATCTTAGCCTCATGTTAGCATGCTCTCAGAAAGTTACAACAGAACTGAGCTTAATGCTGTGCAAAGTGTCCTCTAGAGGCAGCCAAGAGCTAAATTCAGTGGATGATGAATGATACACTGGTAAAAGCGAACTTGTAACATTCCAAACACGTGTATTTTGTTATGGTCATGAAGTCCTCAGCAGAATCATAGGAGTTATTTGTCACCTGGATCAGAAAGCTGGTTTGACACCGGTTCAGCTCAGAAGCTCAAAACAAGACCCAAGAAGCTGTTATATGTATTGTCATTCCCAAGCAGTATAGAGTTAGCCTACACAGGAAACAAGCAGTTACTACCCCTTCTTTGGAGTCTGTAACCTGTGTTCCTGTTATTCTGTCCAATGGAATAAGTGCGTCTGGAAATGAAAGTTCCTTCTTCTTGGTTCCTTCTACTTGGACAGTTTGTTCTACTTGGACAAATAGCTAGGGAGGAGTATAAGAGTATCCCCACATGCTTGACCAATAAAGTCAGGAAGTCCAAAGTACAATT